TGACGAAAATCGATTGAGCCGTTTAGAAGTTATGGGGGGTAAGTGGAAAAGAGTAACCGAAGGTCTGCAAATATACTCGAGTGGGGTCTCAAATGAAAGCGCACTGAAAGGCAATGTTGACGATATAATCAATTATAATTAAAAAAAAAATTAGACCTCCGATAAATTAATAGAAACATGTAGTTGATAATAAAATATATGGATCGGTCCCCAACGCCACATTTTCTTTTAATTATCACTTTTTAAAGGAATATTGGATTTTTTGTCGGGGATTTTCTAAATTTTAAATTTATATTATTAGTTATTAGAAGTCATTCGACGATGAACCTACCGAAGCCGCCGTGTCCGGTGAGCACCTGCGACAGGCGAAAGGTTACTTAAAACTTATACTGTTGTGTAATTCGGAAACTGAATATTTGCGACTTTGGCTTTTAGGGTAAAAGTCAAAGTCAAAATCATTTATTCCAACTAAGCTATAAATAGGTACTTTTGAAACGTCAAAATAGAGAAGTAGTCTGTCAGTCTGTTCGTCAGTGAAGCTAGGTGCTCATTCCAAATTGTAGATTCGAATGGAGAAGAACGAGCGAGTGTGGAAGAGCCATGCTAAGTGTGGGAGAGCCATGCTTCGGCACGAATGGGTCGGCTCGACCGGAGTGATACCACGGCCTCACAGAAAACCGGCGTGGAATAACCACAGCGTTGTGTTTTGCCGTGTGAGTGAGGTTACCGGAGGCCCAATCCTTCCCCTCCCCCAATCCCTCCTAAATCCCTAAATCTCCAAATCTCTAATCTCTAAAAGGTTGGCAACGCACTCGTAACTCCTCCGTTGCGAGTGTCCATGGGCGGCGCTGATTGCTTACCATCAGGTAATCCGTCTGCTCGTTTGCCGACCTATTAAATAAAAAAAAAACTCCATCGTTACTCTTTTGGGTAACCACTAAAACAGACTACCTATTATTAACTTGAAACAGCAAACTGCCCTGTCAAGAAGCAATTCTCCTAATGATGAAACTGAAGAACGGGGAATCGAAAATAGATTTGAGTAAACAATAAACAACGGGTTTAAATAAACTTGTTTAAATAAACAACTTCGTGTTCTTTTTGTTATAGCTTATTGTTCAACGTTCGCTGAATTGTTTGTAAATTGTTGTTTGGCGCTTGGCGCCAACATTTTAGCCGTGATTCTTATTTCGAACTCATAACTTTTTTTTGTATTAATTGTGTTTTTTATAAGAATGTTGTCTATGAAATGTTTGCGAATTAAGGAATTTCAATTCTAAATTAGTTTTAAAAAAATATCTGGTAAATAAGTGGAAGTACCTAAGTATCTAGGTTTTTACTTATATTATATTCTTAAATTTTATTTAAAGAAACTTTCTTGTTGTTTATGTGCAGTGTGCCCTGGATTTGGTATGACAACGATCGAATAAAGCGTTTTGACTACTTACCCGTTGGCGTAGGGGCTAGGGATTTATTCCATTCTAATACCAAAAACTAATACCACTGGTATTTGATTCAACTCTTATTTTTTTCTATTCCGAACGGATACCACTTTTTAAATAATTTAATTTAATGTACGAACGAATACCAACAACTTGAATTTGGTACAGTCAGCGCAGTCAAACCTAATCAAAGTAAATTTGTTTTTCGATATTTTTATGTAATCGTAATATAATGCTTAAAATTTTCCAAATTCACTTCACTCCAATATTTTTACAAAGGTTAGCATAGGTAAGAGTAGTTTTAGTGAATCATCTTGCTATTTTTTTTACCTGCGAGAAAGGGTGAGTTTGCTCTATTGTTCCAAAATTCGTATGAAGGTGATGAATGACAGATTAGATTATACAAAAAGTTGATTTTCTGTGATATTTTACAATTGTTAGATAAACAGTGATTTATTTTTGTTAAAATTTACCTGACATAGTTGTTATGAGACAGACTACCTAAGACGTGAATAATTACGGACCTATCTAATAATAACTATGTCAGATACATTTTAATATAAATTAAGAGTTATTTTTTTGAGATATTTTGTAATTTTTAGATTGTAAATAAATACCTCCAGTTTGATGTCCTTGCAAAAAACAAAAAAAAAATTATTTAATATCTTTATGCACAAAACAAATGTACAAAGGTGGGCTTAATGCCATGGGCATTCTCTGACAGCCAAACCTTTGGATGCAGTGATAAATATAAAGGTGCACCAAACAAGCATCATCGGAGACGTTATAAATACATATTATACTGTAAATATACATACATATACATATACATACTATATATTATATAAACAGCAATAATATAATTACATATACTACTTAAAATTATACATATTTTGCTATTTGATGTCATGATCACGATACCTCTGCCAACCTCTTCAATAGCAACTCCCGAACCTTTTGCTTGAACGCGATTCGACACCATCCTGACATCAAGGGGTAGCGCATTCCATAGAATAATAGATTGAATAAAAAAAGAAGAATGAAGAAATGTTGTGTGATGAGTTGGACATTGAAGAAGGCGGTTATTAGAAGAACGGAGATACTTGCTGTGGTTTGCGCATGTGTACTGGAAGTAAGGGGGTAGATAAGTTGGCGAAGAAAGAGAATCAAGGAAAGAGAACAGAGTGGTTAGCGCCCTTTGCTCCCTGCGTTGGCGTATGGGCAACCACTTTAATTGCAGCCGATGTGCAGAAACATGATCATATTTACGCAGGTTGAAGACGAAACGAATGCAGTTATTCAGGTCATAATAACACACATCAGCATAATTAATTTTGGGAAACAACAAGGCCTGCACCAGCATTGACTTGGCGATGGACGGGAGCAGGTTTTTGTCAGGAAGAGTCGGACTGGAGACCTTTGGGAGCGGGCGAACAAAAGCTCTTCGCCAAAGGGAGGGGAAGGAGCCGGAAAAAAGGGAAAAATTAATGATGTGGGTTATAGCTGGTAGGAGGTGATCAAGAATAGTCACAATCATGTTTCGAGAAATGTTGTCACAACCTACCGCTTTGGATTTGATGGAAAGGATAATCTTACCAACCTCTGCCGAATCAACCGGAGCTAAGTGGAAAGGATTAGCAATATCAGGATGCGTCAGACCAGAGATGAATCTTAGCGTGTTCTGTTTCACTAGACGGTCCATGATTGGTACTGTAGTGAAATGCTTGTTGAGATCGTCTAAACACATTGTACTGGGAAGATCTGAATATTGCGTTTTGCCGATGCCTAGAGTTCTGAGGAACTTCCAGATATCGGCTGAAGAAGAGGAAGAAATGTTTTCGAGAACGTGGCGGCGTTTAGCATTACGCACCATCTGGTTACACCTATTTCTCGCAAGTTTGAAGGCCGCCCAGTTTTCGTCAGTGCGATCCCTCCTGTGTTTGCGAAACGCCCGGTCCCTGCGGCTCATAGCCATCCTTATCCCAGGAGTCATCCATGGCGCCGGTGGCCGTTTCACCTCCAAATATTATACCTGTATAATATTTTTTATTTGCAAAACATAGAGGAACTAAAATTATATTCAAGTTGATTATTTAAGTGATATTTTATCATTGAACAAGACGTTTGCAAACAAAATTTGATTTTTTTGGAGTTATCTTTTTTTTTCAATTAAAGGTCTTATATTTACATAGAAAGCATTTTTACTGACTGTACCTTATATCTTTGAACTTGTTTTGGTATTAGTTTAAACAATGGTATCGGTTTGGAATAGAAAAAAAATATGAGTTCAAACAAATACCAGTGGTATTAGTTTTTGGTATTAGAATGGAATAAATCGGGCTAGGCAAATGTCTGATATGCAACATGTCGCGGGTTCGATTCCCGCACGGAACAAAACTAGGTGATCAACAAACTGTTGGTTCGTTCGACACAGGAAAAAATCTTAAAGTCGGGGCAACGTCTTTATTAAGAACTTCTTATTTTCTTGTTGTTTATGTTTAGTAGGTATGCACTGAATAAAAAACTAACCATTCCACAATAACCACCAAGACAAGAGAAGAAAGCTAGGTAGGTACTTATTAGAAACTATAAGTACCTACCTACTTAAACGTTATGGTTATAAAATATAAATATAAAAATCCCATTACGTGAAACGTCGTGCAGTATATTGGCAATAAAAGTGAAAACAATCACGAAAACAGTTACAAAGCCTCCATTCTACCACTCTTGGCTACCTACATAGGTACAATTCACGAAGTTGTTAGTTCTTTAAAAAGATGCGAACTTTGTAATCCATGTGAAAGTTATCTACGTGTGAATAGAACGGTGTGCACCAATCACTTACCTACCCACTGTGGCAAAGAGAATTCTGTCGTCACAGGTTATGTACCTACAGAGCTGCACAAAGTAATTGAAGCGCTTGCCTGTGTAGGACGGTACCCCAACTAGACTATATATATATACCTACCTATAGTTACATAGACATTTCTATGCAGTCAGGTCTGAGTATATAGGTAAAGGGTGATGCGGTTACATAGTGATGGGGTCGAACGAGGTAACTACTTAGTAGGTGAGGGTAAAAATTGTTTATTCATCTATTTAGGTACTGGCTTTTACCTGCGGTTTCGTTCCCGTCATTAATTTGACCTCGTACATTACTTACACAACAATTTTACACTATCTACCCTACTCTACTGCTTCTCATTCTAAACTATGTACATCCCCATCAATTTACAACGAAATCGGTTCATTCGTTCATGAATTAGAAATCCGTTAAGAATGTACACTAAGCTGAGCAAGGTGCAGGACAAGTAGGTAGGTAAAGATAAAAAATCCTAAAAAGATTCCTAAAGATACCTCATAAATCTTGGCCATAAATAAAACAAATAGGTTAATAATTTGTTCCATAATTTTATTTAATGAATTAAATAAATACCTAAAGTGCTTTTTAAACCAAGAAGAGACAAAAACTACAAAAATATGCTAACCTAAGAATAAACAAAATAAAATCTCAATAAAACCTTTGTTGATGTTTGAAATAGGTCGTGCATATTAGTTGGGCACTGGGCAGTAGGCGTTGATATAACTTTCTTTGCCAATATCAAATTACTTCTTGTATTTAGGATCACAGGGGTCACAAATAGTGGGCGGGGGTGGCGGAGGCGGTGGTTTTTCAATCTGGCACGGTGGCAACTTGCAATCTGGAGTTTGAGCACACGGATCCGGTGGCGGTTCTCGCCTTGGTGGCGGCGGCGGTGGTGGTGGTGGCGGTGGTGGTGGCTGCGTGCTACAAGGCGGGGCTCTAGGCTGAGGAGCAGGTGGAAACGGAGGACAAGGTTGGAGAGTCGGAGCAATTTCTTGATAGTAACAATGCGCGTCAAACCACCATGTACACCCCGGTGTTGGTGGGCACACAAATTCTATCTGCAATATAAAAAAAAATACTCTAGTTTCAATCGAATCTACTTCTGATATTCATAGTAAAACATGTCATGAAGAATCAGTACTAGTTGATCCTATTGAAATACCCCTATTGGGATTTATATCTACCTACTCTCTACGTATATATCCGAGATGAATAGTAAGTAACATAGGTAATCTTATCAAATAAATTATAATAATAACCGTACAAAATAATCAGGGCATTCCGTAACAGTCCGTATAACTCAAATTCCGTATCATTAAACTTATAAAGAGAAGGACGCTGAAAAAAATACCTACATAGTTAGCTAATCATATTTGCTTACTTTTTGTGTATTCATTTTCTTATGATCACATTTTATTTTAATATCTTCCGCAGCGCGAGTTAAGCCTTCAGCTATAGGAGCCACTACTGGAGGCTTTACCGATCCTAAAGCATTCCTGTGAGCATAATACTGCTCGGAATATTTGTTTGTTTGTTCTGGTCCGCGAGGAATATCAGGAGGAGGAATAGATCTTGGAGATATCAATGGCGGAAACCTATTATGATACACATATTTGCGACCAAGCAAAAATTCTCTTAGTTTTTGAAAACCAGTCGACACATCTCTAAAATCCCACTTTATGGAACTTTTTTTTGCCATTTGGAATTAGATATAAATGCTTGTGTTAAAACAACTAAGCTTTTCTAATCACTAAAATGACGTTAATTGACATATTGTATGTATAACTGTATTGGATCATAAATCAAAAACATGCAAAATAAATACTTCGTCATCTCATTATGCGGCCGTCTAAAAACGATGACAACAACGCGACTACTTTGAGTATGACAACTAAATTTTGGTTAATTTTAAAATTGAATGTCGTAATTGTATAAAAAATACGCATTGATTTTTATTACACTATTATGTAATTAATAAATTAGGTACATTTACGTTCAACAAAAATAAACCTAAAAGTAAAAAGACCTGTATTCAGATAGTGGAAGTATCCAAAGAAAAATAACTTCGAAAAAAGAAGTCAAGCGGTGTGTTCAAAGTATAATAATATCTCACAAGACTCCCACACCAAGCTGAAACCAAGTTATAGTCTTTTTAACATTTTATTTTTAAACAAATAATGTAATGTTTGAAAATTTAAATTACCTTCGTTTTAGCGACAGTACATTATTTAAATAACTACCAATAATTAATGAGTATCTGAAAATAATCTTTTTAGCTGTTATGTGTCAGATTCTGTGACTGTCTCAAGTTTTTGACCGTATTTTCAACTCCCGCGTTTTCTTACATCTGTCAAAAGTTCATCGTGTTTTGTTGAGAGTTGTATTTATTATATTATTTGTTTGTAAGTGGTTTTTGTGAATAGATAATTTAATTAATGTTATAAATAGTGTTATTTAGTGTTTGAAATATGAAGACTAGTAAGTCGCCGGAGAAAACAGAAATAACACCGTCGAAAAAAAAACTGAAGCAAGCGAGACTCCCGTTCAAGCTTATTAGCGATGTATCACCTAAGCCAGTGGCTCCTCAAACTAGAAAGCGCAAGCTTTCTGCATCAGACACGGATACAGTTACTAAAATAGGTAAAATCAGTAAGGAGAATGACTTAGTCGAAGAACCAGTGATAATTAGTGATGATGACAGTAGAAGCGGTGAGAATCCACCAAAAGAGGATAAATCTATGAATCCTTTTGTAAAACTAGTGGATACAGCTTGGAAAAAGAAGTTACAAAAGTCAAAAAAGAAGAAGGGTGGTAAAAAGTCATCCAAAGCTGCAGGCAATGGGTCTGTGGAAGTTGAAGACCTAACTAACAGTGCCGACAACAAAGAAGCCGACTCTGAGATGATGGATGTAGATGAAACTCCTTCCACTGAAGTAAATGGTTCTCAAACTGACTCAGAAGAAACAGCATCTAAAACAGAACTTTTTACATCTTCACCAAAACAACAGTCTGTAACTACTTCATCACCTAAAAATCAAACCCCATTAAAAACTTCTCCTCAAAGAAATACAGGTAAAAATTCTTCACCTCAAAGTGAAAAAACTGCCTCAAAATCTTCCCCAAAACGTAAGACTTCAACAAAGTCTTCACCTAAAAGTCAGTCTACCAGCAAAAGTTCTGCTAAAGGAGAGGCCAAAACAAAGTCTCCCCCAAAATCAGAGACCACAACACAGCCATCACCAAACAATGAATCATCTACAAAATCAGAACCTAATGAAGTTATAATTTTAGAAGATTCAACTAATGACAATAAACCTACAGATACTGATATGGGAAAAGAAATCAATACTACTGTAAATGATGAAGAAAATGATAATGACACAACTCAAAGTTCAGAGATTAATGACTCTTCAATGGTTGAGGATGTCAATGAGGACTCAGAAAAATCAAATAAGAAACCCAACAAATCCCCTTCTAAGAAAGTGGCAGCAGCAAATCAAATTACTCCCAAACGGAGTGCTCGTAATATTGCTAAAGCTGAACAGAATAATAATAAAGGTTCTCCGAGCAAGCTTAATGAGTCTATGACTTCTAACACATCAACTCCTAAACAGACTCCTAAGACTAGCAGGAGTTCTTCAGTTACTAATAGCCAGGGTGATGTGTCCTTGAATGAGTCTACAACATCTGCCAATTTAACACCTAAGCAGGTTAGTAACACCGATCTTTAACCTCTTGTTTGCCGATATATGAGACACAATAGAAAACACATTGTGTCCCAAGTAGATCTGTGCTATGGCATATCATAGTTAAATAAGGAGGTTATGTGAAAATTGTACTAAATGTGGTTTTGAAAAAGTAAGAAAATACTTACATATCTAAATAAATCCTTACCTCTAGCTGGAACTTTTATAACTTATACTAGGTGTCTGTGATAAGAATCTTATTCTTATAATTATCTTATTTGAATACTATTTGGTTACATTATTTTCTAATGTATGTTTTTTCTGTTACAAAAAGGAAAGTACAAATTGATTCGAAAACAAGCAAAATAAATTTCAATGGGGGAAAGGAATCTTATGTTTAAGTATTTCATTAACAGTTGATTTTTATTAAGGATTGTAAATATTTCATTTTTAGTAAATAAAATGTTTTTTGATTGATTGATCTGATTTTGTTGAAGTAGATGATTTTAAAATTATATAAAATTCCCTGTATTCAATTTAAATTATTACAATATTTTACAATTACAGTTACAGAAAAGGTTGGAATCTGCAAAAAAGAAAGAAGAACGAGAAAAAGAAAAACAGGAAAGAGAGAAAAAGAGACAGCAGGAAAAAGAAGAAAGAGCTAAGTTGAAACAAGAGAAAGAAGATCAAAAGAAGAAGGAGCGTGAGGAAAAAGAAGAGGCTAAGAGGAAGGAAAAGGAAGAAAAAGAAGAACAGAAGAGGAAAGAAAAAGAAGAAAAGGAAAAACAAAAGGAATTGGAAAAAAGTAAGTATTAATATTACAAAAGTTTTGTAGATTGCACAGAATTTAGAAATAGGTTCAGTTCTTTTTGTGACCTTATTTGAATTTATTGTTGTAAATAATCAAGATAACAATGATTCACCCTCAAAAGAAAAATTAAAATAACCAAAATAATTCAATAATTAGGTTTATTGTGTAAGTGTAAAAGTAAAAATGTTTTATTTCATTTCATCATTTTATTAAAAAAAATAGAAACTGATACAAAGCAGAACTCAAATAAACATAAAAATATTTAATTTCCAGAACTTAGAGAAGAGAAAGAAGAGCAAAAACGCAAAGAAAAGGAAGAAAAAGAGGAACAAAGAAAGAAAGAGAAGGAGGCGAAGGAGGAAGAGAAACGCAAGAAACAAGAGGCTTTAGAACTTGAGAAGCAAGAACAAGAACTGAAAAAGAAAAAGGCAGCAGAAGCTTTTGTCAACTTCTTTGTTCCAAAACAGAAGACAGACAAAGAACAAACAACTGATTCCTGTATCAGCAAAACAAGCATGCTATCCAACTTCATGATCAAAAACGATATGCGTTTAGCTCCATTAGTAAGAGTTGATTTAAGCCAAGACAGGAAAGAAGAATTAGTGAAATTAATAGAAAATCAGACTGTTTCAGAGAAAGGTTTATACTTGAATTGTTTGAAGGATGGGACGAAAAAACCTTTGTCGAGTGGAAAGACTTGGCCTTTGAGTGATAAAGATGATGATGATGATGTTATGATTGTTGGTAAGATTATATTTTTATTATAAATTATAAAAAAGACATGTAATGTACCTATGGTCAAGAATTATGGTTAGAGGAAGGAAGGAAATAACATTCACTTTCTTTTCCAGAGGATGAATTACCCATGCCAGATGATGCTGGCGAGATCCTAACTTGTGAGCCAGCTCAACGAGAAAAGTTGAGACCCAAGTTGCTGAGTTTCCACGAAAATCGGCGCCCACCATATTGGGGTACTTGGAGAAAGAAGAGTGCATGTGTCAAGCCTAGAAGACCTTTTGGACAAGATGAGGTTGGTATCGTTGTAACATGAAAATAATATATGATTATCTCTTTTGCTCTATCAAAGGTATAAAATCCTCAGTGACGAGGGGCAAGTCTTTAGTGACAAAGGGAAAGCAAGTTATGACCGAAAATGTTTTCAACACTATTGTCAGTATTATCTATTATATGTAATTCCAATCTCTTGTAACAAAATTACTTCTAGTCTTTTCCATAATCCATGAATATATATTTTCATATACTTTCAGAAACAAGTGGACTATGAAGTGGACAGCGATGAGGAATGGGAAGAGGAACAGGAGGGTGAAAGTATTGATGGAAGCGCTGCCGGCAGTGATGATGAACAGGATGCTGATGAATATGAAGTGGATAATGTTGTGTTTGTGCCCCATGGATATCTTAGTGATGAGGTACAGTATCAGTTATTTGCCAGTTTGTCTATAATTCATGAAAATATATATTATTAATGTATTGTTTTAATGTGCAGGAAGCAACTATGGATGAGGATGATATGCTCTCCCTGTCTCCAGAAACTCAAAAACAAAGACTGAAACATTTAGAAGACGAATTTGAGTCTGAAATGAAGAAGCCAACGGAAAAGCTTAAGCCTAGAATGTATGGTTTGCTGTGGGAGACGGCAGATGGCGGGAAACCAGAGAAATGCGTGGACGCCTTGTGGAACTACTTTGGAAAGTTATCTATGATCATGAATGATCCAACTCCATTGTTACAACCAGCCAGTGAGCCCGAAGAAACAGAGAAAAAGAAGGTCAAAAAGAAGAAGGTTCCAAAAGAACCAGTAGAGGGCGAGCCTAAACCGAAAAGCCCTAAAAACGAAAAAAAGAGAAAATCTAAAGCAGATGAAAAGGAAAAAACTCCTAAATCTGAAACAAAAAAGAATGTTCCTGAAGCAAAGAAGAACCAGCCTGGTATTAACATGTTTTTAACAAAGTTAAAATCATCATAAATCATTATTTCATGTTAATGTATTTAGCTTGTTTTATTGAAAGTAAGTTTTAAATATCATTGGCTATTGGCTTTACTTATGACTTAATCTCATTTTCTGTAATAATTTAGTAAATACAGTATAAATAAAATAGGACAGACAACAATATTCTTGCAATTATTTTTAACAAGTGCAGTATCGATAAATATAATATTTATGAAAAAAAAAAATTCTTGTATCTGTAGGCATGTGGTAAAAAGATTCATCCAAAAATTGTATGATTGTAAAATTATGGTTGTAAGGTCAAGCTCTACTTTTTTAAATTAATATGTGTGTGTGATTCCTGTGTGTTCCACCTTGCAGCATGATATAGATACAAAAGGAGTTTTGCAAAACTTTGTGATGCCAGTACTTATGGATGTGCCTCAATGAAATGCCTATTCATATGTTCAATATAATAAAATGTATTCTGCACCTATTTTATTGATTAGATAATTATTTTTACTATGATGGTTTGATCAAATCATAGACTGATACAAGTTCTAAATGATAGTTATTGTAATGTTGAGTGCTACATATAAATATTTGTATTGAAATGCATAAGCTGTAAATATCAATTAAAATTTTGCTAAGTATTGACAATAGCATGTATGTTATAGATATTATTCATTAAAATATTCATTTATAGTACACATTTATTTTTCTTTAATTAACCCACCCTACGAAAATATACGACATCTACAGTGTATTTATTACAAGATCCAAGAGTGATGGCCTTAAAGAGCCAATAATTATAGACCACATGGGCCCCAACATGACTAAAGCTTTGCCGGGGTCGCGGGTCAAGCGCAATAAGGTACCGCGGCCCTGGTCAGTAAGAGTCTGACACTTTCTCTCCACTAAAAAAGCAATTTTGGGCTAATACGAACTTCTAATAAGGAAATGTTAAGTGAATTATATTTTATTTTGTGTGTCTGTGATCAAACAATAACCTGGATTTGAGTTTTAAACGTGTCTAAAAAAGTAAAACGTAAATGATTTCTATTTTATGGTACCTAACAAAATAATGATAAAAAACCTTTACAGCTTTATGAGAAACAAAACTGGCAGCCAGCTGTCGGTCTATATCATTCAAACTCATTCAATTTATGGATTATTTATTATCTGTATTTTCCTGTCAAAACTCGCAAAAAGTGTAGGTATCTGTCGTACGCATTGGATGTCGTTTGACAAATTTTAGTTTTCCGATTTTCTTTATCATTTACTAATCGCTAATAAGCATTAGTTTATTGTTTTTCTTCATGTAATTTCTACAGGGTTTATTATTTTTGTGATCTTTTCTCTTAAGTGGTGATTGAAATGCAGTGACACGAGGAATCTTAGTAGAATCGTAAGTATAGATTCGAAAATTTTACTTGCCTACACCCTTACCTATAACTCACCCTGAGTCACTGTTGTTTTTATCTAATTTTGGAACATATATTTGGTTTTTTATGTGATATTGCTCATATTTTACAGCGATATAGTATTTTTGTAAGCTCTTGTTGAAAGTTAAATACAGGCGAAATTAGTTCCTTTCAGTTGCGTATATTTTTTTTTGTTTTGAGACGTATGGCAGCTTGTATTATTTTAATTGGAAAATAATTCGTTTATCTTCTTCGAATATTTTATTATTATGCATAACGTTTTATTACTTATGTTTATATGTGGAATTTTAGTTATAAGATTCATAAAGGATTATTGTTTATATTCTCTGCATCACACTCCTTGACACATTGGCATTTACATGGTAAAATTTTCATTCGTCGACCTTTAGCTTTATGTTTTCAAGATTCCATTTCACTACACATTTATAAATAATTATTTATTGAAATTTTGCCCATGATTAATAGTATAGCTACTTACAGAATAGTACCTAAACATACCTTCTTCAACAAATAGAGGTTGTAAGTAATATTTCTTTTAAAATTCTAGCTACACTTTGGGGAAATAAAAGGACATTTCATGGGTTAGAACAGCAATCACCACTTGTCCAAGATGAGTAAAATGTCGAAGAACAAGTTGAATTTGACCCTGCCACCAGGGTCGATTGACACAGCTCCAGCAGTCACTCCATCCAACATGACGCCTCAGCTTAAGTCTGCTACTGCTACTGAGTAAGTATTTATAATGTTTGTCATCATTGTTATCCATCCTATTATTATAAATCTGAAGAGTTAGTTTCTTTCAATCTGCTGCTGATGAATTCTGGAGCTACTCACTTGAATATATTTTTTTTTGCATTGGATAGTCCATTTAATTTTGAAGGCTAAGCTATAAATAGTACGAAACTTCATACTTGAATCATTATAAGCCAAGCGGCAGGTGAATATCATAGGTTCAGGTTTAGTTAGTCATTGAATCAATTATATTATTAGAATTTTTATTCAAGTTGTGCTTCTTAATAAACCTAAATACATTTTGTTATGTATCAGTTTTTGAACATCTTTCTTTCTTTGATCTATGTTTTTGAAACTTCAGTATGTCATTTTAGTTTTTTGTAATCATTGAACATTAAAGTTACCTAAACTAAGATAAGATTGATAAGAAACTTATGTTACATTCTTCACAGTCTTATACATATGTATGCTGACTTACCTATATTTGTTTTCTTTACTTATATATGGCAAGCAAATGAATTTTGCAATAGTATTTCAATATATTATACAGATGCTCACCATCTATGTAAGATACATTTAATGTTTTTATTGTTAATCTGCCAAACAAACATTCAGGAGGCAGAGGGACCAGTTGATAACTGGGTATTTGATTCACGAAAATTAACTATTTCGACTTTTAGATGCAATAAAATATAAAAAGAAGAGAAAAAATTGTTGATGTTACTTGATGCAACAAACACAAAATCACACACAATACACACGTAAAAAAATAAATAAAAGAAATGTGTTATTTTTTTAAATACGAAAATAGAATTCAATAAGAATTGTTGTTATTTAGATAAAAATTAAATCAAAATAATTAAAATTGTTGCATATAAATACTTTTTCATATAATAAACTCATTGGTTACAAAGATGCTCTAATAGTATCTGTCCTCTGTTGTAGGCGGCAGGGCTTAGCTGGGAAGTCCAAGACAAGCATTGAGGCTTTGACGGAGAGACTAGAACAGATTGAAATGGATGACACCCAGAGGCGCCGAATAGAGGTGTTCCTTTGCCAGAAAGAGAAGATCGGAGAGCTTAGTGATGATGACTTTGAAAAGTTGGGAGAATTAGGTGAGAATACAAATTTTTTACATTTGTTTCTGTAGTTCTTTTCTATCCATATCTATATTATTTATAATGTACACAAATACAGCACAAAGTGCAACACATTTATAAAATTTATTTATGTAGGTTAAAATTTAAGATATAAGCATCATATGCTTCACATTTAAGTGTTTCTTTTTGGAGTCAAAATGTTATGGTTGTACAGCACACATAATTGTTTTTAGCAGTAAAAGTTTCCAAGCAGAGGTCAAAAATAAATTATTTTGAATATCACACTATTATTAATTGATTTGACTAAGTATATACTTCACTTTAGATTTTTCTAATAATAAAAAAATGAAGTTTGCTATTTTGCATCAAAAATTATGATGTCATAGCTTAACAGAAAAGTACAGAAAAGTCTTTGAAATCAATATTGAATGTGGCTTATTTAAAAAGTAGTATACTTTTACATGGATAGAAGTCACAGTTGATAATACTTTGAAACGAGTCAGGGTGTACATGCCACTTCTTGGAAAGTCAAGAATCACTGTGGACACAAATGACAGCTAGCTAGCTTTTGTTTCTCTTATCATTGTCATGTACCTAAATACTAAATGCTAATTAGCTTAAGCTAATTGTTACTAAATTTATGAGAAAATAAAGTAACAACTAAGTGAACCTTGTAATGTCGTGGTGGCCCGCAGGTTAAGATGCCCGCTTCTCATGCATTAGGGGTGCGGGTTAGAAGCCTGGCAAGTACCAATGTGACTTATTTCGAGTTATATGTATGTACTTTCTGACTATTTAGACACCACTCGAATACGGTGGAGAAAACATCGTGAGGAAACTTGGACTTATAAGTTTGAAATCGCCAATCCGCTTTGAGTCTTTCGTGATTATTGCTCAAACCTCCGTGTGAGAAGACGGCTTTGCTCAGCAGTGGGCACTTATAGGCTAATAATGATGTACATAATAATGTTTTTACACCTATGTACCTATTAATACTTAATTTCTTTCCTTTGTACCAAAAAACTTGTCTAACACCAATGAAAGGCTCCTCAAAATAACTTCCACATATCTTTCAGGTCAAGGCAATGGCGGAGTCGTGATGAAAGTCCGCCACAAGTCCACCGGCCTCATCATGGCTCGAAAGCTTATCCATCTGGAAGTCAAGCCAGCCATTAAGAAGCAGATCATAAGGGAACTGAAGGTGCTCCATGAATGTAACTTCGCCCATATAGTGGGTTTCTACGGAGCATTCTACAGTGATGGCGAGATTTCAATCTGCATGGAGTATATGGATGGTGGCTCTTTAGACTTGATATTGAAGAAGGCTGGAAGGATTCCTGAATCTATTCTAGGTAAGTGTTTAAAACTTCTTTTTTGAAATTAACATTAAGAATGCACAGTTATATGTACATAGACATACAGTTAAGTCACATAAGTAGGTATACGTAGTATACATGTATAAGGGTGATATTAGGTAACATTTCATGTTCCTAGTTTGTATTTAGTGTGGGAGAGCTATGCTTCGGCACGAATGGGTCGGCTCGACCGGAGTGATACCCACTGCCTCACAGAAAACCAGCGTGAAACAACCACAGCATTGTGTTTCGCCGTGTGAGTGAGGTTAACGAAGGCCAAATATTTCCCCTTCCCCAATCCCTCCGTTATCTCTAAATCCTAAAAGGTCCACGGCGGCGCTGATTGCTTACCATCAGGTAACCCACCTGCTTGCTTACTGTCATATCCCATAAAAATAATGATACTGGCTTCTTTACTTGTTGGCACTTTTCCACATGAACAATGGCATCAAGGGTCGGCAGCATATCTATTACCTACTGCTCTGATGTTGCAGGTGTCCTTGATCAGCGTTATTCGCTGAGTATACGACGAAATGTTTGCTTGTTTGCCCTATGGCTCATAAAACATTTTGCAATGGTTAACGAAGTCTTATTACTAGATTTAAGCACACATATTTAGACATTTCTTACGGTTTTCATAAAGTATTACTGCCACAATGAAATCTTTCATTACTTATTATAGATAACGTTTACAGTATTTTTTTGACATGGAGCAATTTCTATTTTAAATATTGTTATTAATATGTATAAAAGAAGACAGTTTGTTATGGATTTCAAATAAAAGAGTACATTATTATAGAAATGTTATTAAGATAATGATTAATGTTATTTGATAGTGTAATGTGATTGTAACATACAACACTGGCATTGTTCTTGAATATAATCATGCAGATTGTCTTAAATATGTCTTCTCGATTGATATTGAATACATAATATTATGTATTTAACTACAAAGACTTTTTAATTCATGTTAAGGAAAAGGACGGGTCACTTACCTGACTCGTTCGAGTTACGAGTGCCTTGTCGGCCTTTTGGGGATTAGAGACGGGTGTAGGAAAGTTTGAGCCAGTATGAGCTGTGGTTGTTTGACGCCAGTATTCTGTGAGGCCGTGGTATCACTCCGGTCGACCCGACCCATTCGTGCCTTAGCTTGGCTCTCCCACACTTAACATTTGCAACATGTACAACATTGCAGTACATATTTGCAAACGTAGACTTTGAAATAAGATCATCACCATATCAGCCATAAGACGTTTACTGCTGAACATTGGCCTCCCCCAATGAATCCTAGACCAGTTGTTACCATTCTGCATCCAGCTGTTAACTGCAACCTTAATAAGATGGTCCGTGAACCATATGGGTGGACGTCCTCCATTCGAGAACATTCTTTGGCAGTAGACTCGGGCTAGGGCCCAGCTCACTGCCACTTCAGTGACTTCCTCTAATCCGCTGGGCTTTGTCAGCGACTTGTTCGTTTGTGGGTCTCCTCATTTCTGATGCGATCGCACAAACAAACAAGCATAGTCCATCCCATAGCGCGTTAAGTGACCTTGAGCTTTCTTTATAAGTCCCACAGTAAGAGACTGCGTTTCGGTTCCATAGATCATCCGATAAAATAACAAAGTATAAGTTTTTCATAGTAAGCACAATATTTTTTGTGTTGTGGATTAGCATTTTCCTAAAATAAAATGCATTTGTTTACTCGCTATCAACATTTTAATTAAGTTGTTAATATGCGATGTTGCTTGAACAATTGAACATGTTTTACTTGCACTAGATAACGAAACTTGGTCTTTTAAATTTTAATTGTATTTTGGCGCGACCTTACTTTGCCTTGCAAGCGTACATAAGTATGCTTAGGTAAAGCATATTTGGTTTAAGTTGCAATTTATATGCATATGGGAAGACAAATGGAACACCTAAAATGGACAAGTGTTTAATATTATATAAATATACTTTGAATGTTTTTATGATACGTGGTCTAATTATTTCTGTTATAGTCATGTGTCTTCGGAAGCTATGGTGTCATTTCTATAGCCTTGTAGCGACATCTATCGCACAACAAGAACAATAGCACCAATCACGTACAAGAGTCTACATCGCGCTATAAAAGTTCTCATCGCAATTAGAACATATACAACAATCCCGACAACAACAGTCGGGCAGTAGCCCACCAGGCATGAACACCTCGCCTGGTCGGAGGATCCTCCCTTTTCAATGGAGGATGAGGAACTTTCCACCCTGTTCCTCATACCTCTAAAGCCTCATGCTTCATGCTCAGTGCTGTGTCTGACTCTGAATCTTTGCGACGCTGGTCAAACTAATCTTGGCAATAAAAAAGATGATTATATTATACATTTATTATTAATTTACTTATTCATGTACAACACATATATTATAAAATAACAGTACAGTAAAGACAAAGGTACATAGGTTTGGAATATTCCATTTGGAATCTTCCTACCTATTGCGACAGCCTCAGGATAGATATTTCAACAAAACACCCTATTTTAATGTACAAACTACCGCAAGACAGAAAAATTATTGAAAATAACGACATACTCATGTGAATTAATTAAGAAAAAGATTCTTTGTGACTTAAAACTATAGAGCTATAGCGGTTATTTTCAAAAAAATCTTATACATTATCATCATGGAGCCTGAGTTTAAGAGCAGTTCAAAGGGCTAATGTTTATCAGAGAATGCTTCTTCATAGTCCCGTGTATTCCCCGTATAACCCCAAAAAGAAGTATGGTGACAAATATTCATACTTTTTCAATCTTTAAGAATTATAATTATAATAAATACTTATTCCATTCTTCTAATATAGTCTAAATCCTCTATTTGTTCATAAAATCCCAATATCCTTTCTTCCAGGAACAATAACATCAGCCGTGTTGAAAGGGCTTAGTTACCTTCGCGACAAGCACGCCATAATGCACCGCGACGTCAAACCTTCGAATATCCTCGTCAACAGTAATGGAGAGATCAAGATCTGTGACTTCGGAGTATCAGGGCAGCTTATAGACTCCATGGCCAACTCGTTTGTGGGGACCAGGAGTTATATGTCGGTGAGTTTAATGGAATCAATTGTAATAATAATATTAACATTAATTGAGTTTGCCAGTCACCCCCTGCCTGTTTATCCGTAGGTACGTATCAATATTGGTCAGGGGTAGGGGCCATATTATTTCAATAGTTGTTATCTACCGGTCCATAGTCACCCATAATCATATACATATGTTTTACCATTATGCACAATGGTCATCAACCGGGGATATCGCCCTTCGTTGCAGTATGTACCTACATACAGAGACAATTGCCGGTTGATGTCACATCACATTTAGATTAAAACTGTTCAACGGGCTTCTGCAAGTTGGCTTCGGCTCCTCGTACGCCTCCCAAAAGTCTTTTGATCCCGTGAAAGGAAAGAACATAACATAAAAAAACATGTTTTAAAGTAGTGTGAAAAGGAAAATGTCATTACGCATTATCTATTTTCCTGTACATCTGTAATAGCTTTAAAAAGTAAAACGAATGTAAAAGTTTTATTAATAAGTTGAAGTATTATTTTTCGCAAAAAAATATTGGGATAGTGATATTGACACTATCTCAATAATTTTTTGCGAAAAATTAAGTTGAGTAAATTGTAAACAAATACTTCAACTTATTAATACAACTTTTACATTCGTTTTACTTTTAGTAATTGAACACCCGAAGATGATATCAGGTGCCACTTAAATGATATAATATACCTAATCATCTAAATTTTGTTTTATTAATTCGCCGCGTAATCCGCGTCAATCCTGAAATCCCTTACGCTTATAGGGCATTAAACGAACTAGTTACTCCTCTTGTGTTGCGGATATCCATGGACGGCGCTGGTTTCTTACACTTAGATGATCCGACTGCTCTTTGCCGTACTATCACATGAAAACAAGTTTTAGTTTCTAATTTCATGGTATTTCTTTTAGCCGGAGCGACTCCAAGGCACGCATTACTCGGTCCAGTCTGACATCTGGTCTCTTGGCCTTTCGTTGGTGGAGATGGCCATAGGAATGTACCCGATCCCGCCGCCCGATGCTAAGACCTTAGCGGCCATCTTTGGTGGGCAGAATGAGGATCATTCGCCAGGACAGGTAAGCAGACGATTTGAAGATATTTTAAATATTTACATTTATATATTTAGTTTTTATTTATATATTTAGTTTTCTACGATTACAATTTACTTTCTTTAATATCTTACGAATTTTTGAAAATTACAATTTTCTATAAAATATGTACTTTTGTCTCGTTAGGTATGTCATATTCATGAGAAATGTTATCTAATATCGTATAGGTGCGACATTCAAGTTTGTAACCTTAAATAATTAACCTTGGCTTTTAACACATTCAGTGCCCCCGACGCACCTGTGTTAAGCAGATTCTTACCATATAAGGGGGTACTTTTATCATAATCATCACGTTCATGTTTACAGGCTCCAAACTCCCCTCGTCCGATGGCGATTTTCGAGTTGCTGGACTACATAGTGAACGAGCCGCCTCCCAAGCTGCCGGCTGGTATCTTCTCCGACGATTTCAAAGACTTCGTGGATCGCTGCCTCAAGAAGAACCCTGATGAAAGGGCTGACTTGAAAACGCTGATGGTGAGTCAATAAATCTACAGCAGCAGCTGGTGTTAATTCTACGAGTATTGACCTTCTTTATATAAGAGGGGTTTAGTTAGTCATTGCTCATTAGACAAATTTAATACATTGTTCGAACCATCAAAAATTATAGTTTTCTTTTAATGTTGTTTGAAATAGCAAGTTGTCATTGACAGCTTTTTGTGTCAAATAGCATAAGGTATTAATTTGTCTTAGGTGTAAAAATACGAAAACCATAATAATATAATTTATATTTAATTCAGTCAAGTAGGTACAGAAAAAGTAATGAAGACTTTGTTGAAGTTGTTACTGTTTTGTCAGTAAAAGTGACAGTCTTACTGACCAAAACACAAATCTGACGATTTACCCGCTCAAAAAAGCCTTGTCTAGTTCACTCCTTCACATTACCTTTTTTATATTTGAACTAATATTTCATATTACAAGACAACCAACTTTTTACAATTCTGACTTTTCTCTCGACAGAACCACGAGTGGATCCGCAAGGCAGACGCTGAGAAGGTGGACATAGCGGGCTGGGTGTGCAAGACGATGGACCTCATGCCCTCCACGCCTAATTCTAACGTGTCTCCTTTTTCTTCATAAGCTGCAAGAAGTGCATACTTTCATCAGCGAAAAAGGGTTAGATAAATATTAATATATTCGATCATGCATGCTTTCACTTGTATTATTTTATTTTACCATTAGTATTTAAGTATGTTTCTTTTTTTGTGATCAGTGACTGTATGAAAAGCAGTCTTGCGATTATATTCCATTTTTGATATTAAATTTAAGTTCTTCTTGATAAAAATAAATTACTTCAGAATTTATTGTTATTTAAGTAGTGTTAGAAAGTGTGTAAACATTGGAAAAACTTATTTGTGTATCTTGTACATTTATGTTATATACAAATATCTTCTATGTAAGATAACTACACATATGTACATGTTCCATTTTTTCGTATGAAATGAAATAACAATTTACATATATAAGTAACTAAAACCTTTTATTATCTGGTTATACAATAAAAAAACACAAATTTTCAGGTCAAAACATTTCCCAAGAGAAAGCGGGCGACACAATCGCCGAAGACGCTGGCGGTGAAGAATAGCTGCCCTGAGAACACGCGATGACAGAAAACAGTGTGTCAACTCTAGATACCATTGTCCAGTACCAGAACGAGCCACAGCCAGGCGAACACTCCACATCATAGAGACGTGATCCTACATCCTTGATACAAGCCTATTTAGAAGTTCATCATTGACCTCAATTTTCAACATGGAGTATGCAACACATGAAGTGCTAATCTTCTTCACAAGAAGTTACAAGTCTAATGTCGTGTCTCTTTTGACGTTGCCGTGATCTCTGTTCGCACAGATACTACCGCAACTAACACTCCATGAGTAACTTACTCCGTGACATTAACATCGTACGTCGTCAACACTTTATGACGCTACTGGAATTCACATTTAGCGTTAGAAAAACTAGTTCAGATTATTCTACATATCAGGGTCATCACGTCTCATATCAAAATGTTTCATTAATACATTTAGTAAAATTCTTCGGGAGACATCCTGTCATCGAATCGAAATTCAAAATTAATAATTTAATTTATAGAATTGGCTAAAATTTAAGGTAAAATCTGTAGGGAATTATCGAAAACAATGTGTTACGCTATCGCTATGAAGCTGCTTGAGTAGTCGGCGACACAGTCAGCCTTATATCGACAACACAAGTCGATTAGCAAATAAATCGAATAAAGGCATCGATAACGTAATCGAATCAAAGGTGTAACTGTTTCATCGGCTACACATCGAAGGAGTTTGACTTTCCTTTTCATATACAGGCTATATGATTACGAGAAAGTTGATAAATAAAGGTAATGTGTGTACTGTAACCAATAGCACGGTGTCTGATGATAGATAGGGGTATAATACTAAAACATAGTGCATTCGTGGACGAACTAATCGAGGTTTTATAACAAAAAACGACAACTAATCGATAAAATGGTCAAGTAGAGTTGATTTAACTAGTCGCAAGTCGAAAAAAATGTTAGTAGTGTTTTGACATATTTTTCTTTGCTGAAAGTGCGTAATTCATGTCAGCTGGTACCTGTTATTTGAATATAGAATTCGGACGCGTTTCATCGACGTGTCCGGAGCGTTGGAATACTCAAACGGCCGCGTTTCGCGGGCGTGGGACTGTTCCAAAACTCAAACGTATCATCTTATAATCTGTAAAATAGAATGCATTTTTTAGAGATTACACGAAAGTAAAAAATATAAAAAACGAAAAAATAAAAAATCGTAGGTATGTTTTTTATATAATTGACGTGATGCACTTTTCCCGTTTGGTTTGTTGTGTTATTTGCTTCGTTTTAGTATGTCCGCCATTTATTTACCCGCCCTGTCCCGAGCACCGACTGTAGATAGACACAGCTACTCACTAATGTAATGTGTTTGCGCTGTTGTATGTACGAGTGAATGATATAGTTCATTCTGTATTTGACAGATTCTTTTAGTTCGTTCGATCTTTCATTCGTTAGGTTATAGTTCATTGAGATTCGATAGATTTGAGCTTGTATTTATGGTCGTAAGCTTCATTATTTAACATTGTTTTTTATTTCCCAGCGTATGTTCACCTCCTTCGCTTTGTGATCGCTATTATTTGCCTGGTCTTCCTTTAGTATTTAGAGAGTTATGTGATTTTAAGATATGTATTGTGTGTTTCAGGGTTTGCGAAGTGTTTTGCCTTTTATTGTACCCAGCATTTAATAATTTTATTATTCTCATTAATTAGATAATTTGACGGTGCTTTTACGTTATCACTGATGTAAGTGACATGTATTTAAAGAAAAAAGTAAAACTCAAAAAAAATCTTTTTTATAAATGGTCTACTCGTGATTGATAAGTAGGTTTTACTTATTTTTTAATCATTTGTATGTAGTCGTCGTGTTAGGTTAAGTTGAACGTATATTATAGGTATTGTATTCCAAAATTATGTTACCTATAATGAATTTACAATGTGGACAATTAGAATGGCGAGACCTCATTCTTAAATGAAGTAATGTCAATTATACGAAAACGTTTATGTGTACAACGCGAACGTATCCGATTCCCAACTCGTAACAGTAAAATGTAGGAACTACATATAATTTTGTAGCCACTATTTAATAAAGAAAATAGTTAACTCATTTCGCTATTATGTTTGTTTAGGATTGAGGTTTCCCTTGCTGTATTAATATTTTACTGTATTGTGAATTATGTGGGTATTATCCTCTCCAAACTTCATCTTTCAGTATTTAATGTGAAAATACAAACCTTCCAAAGACGAAAATCGCATATAAAACACTTATGAAGCTATTTCAGACTGTTTAGAAAATAAAAATAAACGAACAAAATAAAAAAGAAATTACGTTTACGTTTTTATCGATTAAATATCAACAGCCTCAGTAATCGAAACACCAATATCGATTTTAAAAATAAGTGATATTTTTAGACTTATCGATTTAATAGTTGAAACTATTTTTTTATTTATTTTATTTGACGAAACGTTTCCTTATCGAAGACGCTTTTATTAATAATTTTTTAACATGTTCATTTATTCGAGGCACATTGTAAAAGTTCTCGTTTTTAAAACTATATCACAATCGATCTCTAAGGTCTAATAATCGTTTGTAGAAGCGATTATCATGAAAAACGATTAGCTATTCGAGATAATCGATTTTTTGATAACGCCCTTCGAAATTTCTGCTCGGTATAGTCATATCGTATATGAATCATGAATGTATCTCCAGTTTATTTATGTAAGCTTCTTCGTAAGATACGTCTGTAGTTAGGTACGTATGTACAATTAAATGTTATTAAAATTAAACTGTTTTTTATTCCATTTCCCTCATCCGAATATTTATAATAATATGTGTAAGAAACATTACAATATCACTATACAGTATAAAACAAGCAGCTTTCTCCGTCCCTATATCTTTATGCATGCTTAAATATTTAAAATTACGCAACGGATTAAGGTGCGATTTTTTTTATGGATAGAGAGGAAGAGATATGTTTATGTGTATAGTAACATCCATTAAATAGTGGAGAAAAGTACCCATCAACATTGCACCCGTGTGAAACTGGGGCGGGTCGCTAGTAACTCTTAAAATGAATACGTATAAGTGGGTGCTATATTGACACCTTTGCTTGGCTCTATGGGGATAACAAAGACGTGATATTACTTTACACCAGTGGCTTTAAACCTTTGTTTATTCAATTAATTTGATTCTCTATAAGTATAAGTAAATGATGATACCGATGTACCTTTAAAAAACATGCTGCTTTCAATTGTTCAAAGTCAACCTCTGAGTAAGTCGTAAAGTTTACACAAAATGATGACCATAAAACGCTACAACGCTTGTAAAACTCAGGACATATCTAAGTAAGCAGCTAAAATCTCTGTATTAACCTGTAAGACCCTCGAGGACTAGCTAATGAGTCAGTACGGCGTCCTCACCTTTCCTGCACATGCTTACTTGACACGGAGTTTTGAAAGGTGTGTCCTGTGTCGGATACAGAACCAACCAAAGGACACGATACAGTATATGGTAGTAGTGTGCTTGGTACGAGCCCGGCATTAGTTCGGGCCACTGGTAAGCTGTTTTCTCCTCCGAAGCCGTCATGCTAGATGAAGACGGAACGCGCATAGGAATAATCCTCCAGCTCTAGCCGCTGCCGCCGGCACTGAGGGCGTTGGAGATCGCGAGACGAACAGCCATCCGTAGGCGCAAGCTTTCAAGAGCCACCAGACCACCGTAGATGGGCCCTACTAGAGCCGATTTGAAGCTGGGATTTCGGGTACAGAAATGATGCACTGCAGCAGTAAACATCTTGATACTTCCTCTTGCCTCACCAAAGCCTGGAGAACGAATTGAACGATTTTCACCTTAATAAAAAAATGATTACGAATTCCTGAAATAAAATATACCCAATAGGTAAATAGGGCTCGACCCAGTAATCGAAATTACAAAACGCATTCCCAAGTATTAGGTATTACTAACAGAACCAAGTAGTAGGTTTTTTTTGTGAGGGGAAAATCATCAAATGACTTCTCCAGGAATGTCAGACTCTTACTGACTAAAAACCCCCCTGTTCCTTCTCCTGCTCTGGGCCGATGTCGCGGTGCCTATTGCACTAACGCCGCAACCCCGGCTACCAAGTAGTAGATACGTACCTATTTTAACATTAGGTATATTATGTAATAAACTCACAGAAGACTGTACCTACTTAAATGAGCGAATAGTGAGCGCGAGGGTGGACTTAGTAAATCCTTCAGATTCAGAGACGGATTAATCAAGCGTAGGACCCGCGGGATCCACAGCAATTTTTAGGGGCCTACATTTAAAAACTACTATAATTATGTTTCTTGAAGCTCTTAACAAGTTGCTCACCGCACGATATTGTAACATTAATCACCACGCTTGGTCAAGGTGGATTTCAAACTCTTAATTTGAAATGACAATTTCAGGATTCCTCACGACGTTTTCCTTTTTTCCACCGTTAAAAAGTAACTTTAACTCAGAATAAGTTACAGTGCTAAATACTTGCCAGGTTTCGACCGCTTAGTTTTGACCTCTAGGCCACCGCGATCATGTCATTTGATTTGATTTGATTTTCGTTTGACATAAGTAGGTACCTAGGTATAAAGTAGGCAACAGTAATGAAAATGTTCTCACATACCTAATAGAACCGACTAAATTATGTAACAAAGAATGGAATTGTAAAGCTGATTGAAAAAGAATTTCTTGCTCGTTCTCCATTGGAATCTACACTTTGGAACGAGCAAAATTATGTAGCTTCACTAGAGGACAGGTGGACAGACTACACACATATCTATTGATAAGTATCTTTTTTGCTTTTCGTTCAAAAGTGCCTGTTGTGGTCTATTTAAAACAAAATGATTTGACTTTGATTTTGACTTTAACTCATGTCTTATAAATATCGAATTACCTAAACTGAAACCTTAAAAGAATTCCAAGCCAAGATTGGTGTTGAGGGGCCCATTTTTGCGCGGGGCCTGTAGTTAAATTCTAGTTTTGCTACATGCTAAGTCCGCCACTGCATAGCCAGTTTACATTAAAATGAATAATGCCAAGTTGAATTGCAAAGAGGTTACACAGGGCGGTCTTGCCCTCTCATTATAAATGTGCGTAAATATTGTTTCTATGGAGCTCTTTCCGAACCTCATTAAGAAGCCATTATGTTTAATCCAAACGAGTTTTTATTTGAATGTCAAGTAGGTAATCTGTTGAGAATATTGTTTCATTCCTTCAGTATGATTATATGTCTACAAATAAAATACGGAATTGCGTATTGATTTTGAGTAGACCCTCCAGGTTTATTAACCTTAATTGAT